TGTATTGACTGCATTATTGGGCAATAAAAATAAGTTTCGTCTCTGATTCAAATGTGCTCGTCACTCCACATGTTACTCTAATTTATACATGTATTGAGACCCACCATTGCGGTGGATAGATTTCATTCGGCTAGACCTGAAGGCAGCGGATCTCTCCGTGCGCTCTCCTAGCTTCAGGAAACTAACTTGGCTTGACACTGTTGACAGATGGGTCGACTCTGCTTCTGTCCACAGACTCGGGGAAGATGCGAGCTACGTGTATTATTAGTATCATTAGTGCAATAAAGAGTATAATAGATGCAGGCATGGCCAGACAACAACGAGTGCATGGAATTGTAAAGTATTTTTATGTTATTCAAAATCGATTTTCATCAGTGAATAGTATCGGAACTGAGGGTAATGTGTACAAAAATAGAACATTAATTTTTATAACAGCATAATGGACCGTATGCGTGTTAAAACAAAATGGCCTCACGATTTTATTGAAAGTAGTATAGTTGGTGGTACGAGTGTTCAAACCCATTTGAACTTCATACTGTTCGTCTTCTTTTTGACATGCTCTCTTTCCATCGTCCTTAGCTTTTGTTTGTTGTGAGGCACACCGTGTACGGCTGCCATGTATTGTACAAATAAAACTCATGCAGTAGTGGACTCTACAGTGATGAATCTCAGCATTTATGCTGCAAAAGACACAGGAAATGTGACTGGTGTCTGTACACTCAGTGACTGGACGCCAACACCCCAGTCTCCACCTCTCTCTCTCTCTCATTCCTTCTGCCGTCCACATGTATCAAAGGAGGCGAAATCGCCTGTTTGTGGTGCGACGTTAAATAATCTTCTACAACAACAACAACTACAGTCTTCTCCTGCAGGATCTGTTTGGCATTGACATCATGCAGTAGGTCGGCATTGACCTGGTTTGGCAGCTATCGTAATAGTATCTGCCTGGTTGGATGCAGCAGGTTGGCGTTTGCTCGTCATCCAGTCCGGAATTTTCTTGTAACCCACGGTGGAGTACGCGCAGGGTTTGTGATCATCCCTGTTCACTTCAACATTATCAAACACAACGTTCCCTTTGTCACTCGTCTTATCTTAAGTACTGAATTTGCTGACAATATTGCACCACACTTGTCACAACCTACCGCCACTGCTGGCGGTGGCGACTGGTTCGTTAATGGCGGTGACCAGGCTGACTGACTACCTTCGAGACAGCGGCCTCGTTGTCAACCCCGCGACAGCCTAAAGGTTGATTTTATCGATCCAGCCTCAGCGCCATGTTGACGATGCCCTAGTGACTGTGTGTCATGGATTGCTTTGCCATCAGTGGTCATTGCCGTCCGCCTTGGTGCAGCCCTCAACAACTGGCTCAGTCCATGGGAGTCTCAAGTGGACAAAGTTGTTGCCAAAGTAGCTCAGAGGATTGGTGCATCGTGGTGTAGGTGAGCACGTAACTAGGACTTCCCAGCGCGTATTTGTCCAGGTTGCGATACTATGTGACATGCTGTACTGCACATTCTTTTCAGCACTGCAAGGACGGCAGCTGTACCGACTTCTGGGGCCGCGTACATGCAGGCCGCCTGTTGCCAGTGCAGCGTTCTGGAACGTTCCTTCCTTCTGAGATCCGTGGAATATTAACTTTCTTTGCTTCAAAGCAAGTTGCTTACCTTTCTGTTGTGCTCCCAGTGTCCTTACAACAATAACCTACAGAAATGTTTTATTTTTCTTTCCATTCCCCAACCAATGAATACTACAATGTCGATTCTATTTCTGAATACTTTAGTGTGTGCCCGCGCACGCACGTGTGTGTGTGTGTATACCTCACTCGCCCCTCGACGTTCTGTTCCCCATTACTGGAACACTGCCTGTTCTTTCAGGACCTGCCATCATCTGCGGATGGGCATTCAATGATTGTATTGTGTGTGTGTGTTTCATTCAGAATCAGATCCGCTGTCGTTGCTATAAGAGAAAATCTGTGGGTTCATATCCAATGCCTTTGTAGATTTGCGTGCTTTTCTCGCCACGGGCGCATACATGGGACATTGTGTGTGTGTGTGTGTGTGCGTGCGTCTGTGTGTATAGGGATATTGTCTGTATCGGCTTTTGGTACTAATGTTCAGGTCTGTGCTTGCATGTGTGAACATGAAATTGTTCGGTTCTGTGCATGCTATTGCTATGTTGTATATTATTGTATGTATGTGTGCATTTCCACGAACAGTGTAGATGAGCGTGAGAGCATTCATCCCTGAGCAACCACTTCCCCTTGGGCTTACGAGAGTTTTTTCTGCGTACCTCTCAGTTTTGTTTGTTTCTTTCTGATACTGTATTGTTACCGGCACCTGTACCTCGATGTGTTCCTCTATCTGCAGTCGCCTTTATCCTTCGGTCAAGTTAACAATTATTGTGCTCCATTTATCGTGCGAATCAAAATGAACAATAATAACACAAGTCATGCTAGAGTGACGACATGTGCGTGTAGTAGGGTTGATGCGATGGGACGTTATTATTAGGTGGAACAGATCACACATTGGGCAGATTGATTGGGCATCATTGATTGTGCTCAGTCTACACAGTGAACATAATAATTATCTCCAGTGACAGAATGTAGCGGCTAGCCTCCAATAGGTAGCTGGCTGGCACTAGTCGCTACTGCTTGTTTGACAGGTGCCGCCAGAACCCCTGTTGTGTCATGATAGATGCACATGCCCTATTCTGGGGCATACTGAGGTACTTTGATTTTGTTGACTGCATGTAGACAGCATCCAATAGTACTCGTAGACCTTGGCTCATTGTAGGTCAACCACCATCGCATGGATCGATCGGTGACTATGCACTTGGAGGTTGGAATAGCCCGCGCTGAAGAGAGCTTGCCATGGCCCAGGGAGTGAACTCGCTTACTCGACTATCCCGGTTTTAGTTAACCAGCATGAGTGGTGCAATTTGTCCATACCATGTTGCGAGCTCACAGTTGTTTGGGCAGGTTTTGATCTGCACCACGAAACAAAGCGAAATAACGGCGTGACTGTAGAGCAAGGAAGCGACGAGACGGCACTTCCAGGACGAGACAGGCAGTAGAGATGTGTTCACAGCACGAGAAACCTCTCAAACCCTGCCGGTACTCCACAGTTACAAGAAAATGTCCGACTGGACGACGCGCCAATGCAAACCTGCTACATCCACCCAGGCAGATATCTGCCAAACCAGGCCAATGTCGACCCACTGAATACCGGTAATTCAATGTCAAACAGATCCTGCAGGAGAAGACTGGGATGATATTGGCGTCCAGTGTACGGACACCTGTCACATTTCCTGCGTCTTTTGCAGCATACAGGATAGACTCATCACTATAAAGTCCACTACTTTGTGGCTTTTATTTGTAGAATACATGACAGGAGTATTCAGTAGGCTGGGCGTGGACGTCCAAGGATATCCATTGCGACGCGCATCACAAGCGACTTACAGAGGAGGAACATCGACTTGAAGCGCAGCAGTCAGCTGGGGAATGTGAGGGCCATCGCTCTGGACAAGCCTACATGGAGAAATCTGGCCGACAACCCATGATCTGGCGTCACAGGTCATCAGTGCGCCATGTTAATAATTATCTTGATAATGGAATTTGATCATAGGAGATAGGACAGAAGCGGAACGTATAATTATACCCACATAATTATATTATTACGCGTGCTGTGGTATTATTATTATTATTAGAGGCAAAAATTAGAGCAAGACTTACAATTTTTCATCAAATGCCTGTAGACGGAATAGTTTTTCGAATCAAACTTCAGCTCACGCTCAAACTCCCGGTCATCAGCGTCAAGAAGAAAAAAACATGTTAAGAAAAAATTGGAGGCGTATCCGATTTCGAAAGAAAAGGTGTAAGCACCGACGCAATTCACACAGTCAAGCAAGCAAATTTCATAACCCAACGTTTTCGTTCCCTTCCCATCATGTGTAAGTACAGCGAATAATGGGAAAATGTCAAAAGGCAGAAATTTGAGGAGCTACAGCAAAGGTATAGATCGAGAACCTCACGCTATACGTGTGGAAAAAAATTAAAATCAGCAGAACAGGTCCATAACAGGGTGAATGTGAAGAAATGACTACAACATAATGTAAACATCAGTGTGGAGAAGCATTCCTGACACTTTCACGAGTATTAGTGCCAAACAACTGAAGTGACAAAACATTTTCCTTCTGAACACATAATTCGGGGGACAACTTACGGATATATAACGCTATGTTTTAGGCATTTCTCCACTTTCACCCTGTTTAAGACCTGTTCTGCTGAATTTTATTATTTCTCCACACATATAGAGTGAGGTTCTCGATCTATGCTTTTGACATTTTCCATTATTCCCTGTATTTGGCTATGATGGAAAGGGAGCGAAAACATATTACTCAGCAATTGTCCGCTCACCACAGTTACCCACACATTGCCGCCACATTATGATCACAGTGGCTATCACAGTTTAATGCTAAATATAGCTATATTTACTGGATGTACCAGTGTTTTCTCACCTGTATATTGATCGCGTACCTGGGAATTATAATCTTGTCATTCACGTGATGCTATTTTTGCGATCGGTTGTTACTTTGGCGTGATTTTAACCTTCGGAAACCGCCAATAACCTGGGGTATGGTATTCGAAAGTGTGCCCGTGCTTGAAACGCAACTCAGAAAAACGAAACCATCCAGGTCCCACCCTACCCCTTGCAATGAATATGGATTGGCATGTGCACGAGTTGTGGTAGCCGCAGAATGCATTGCATTTGCAACTTCTGGACACTAAAATCGTACTCACTCATTTTACCAGTTTCGTGTGACAATGCTCACTCCGTCACCTAAGTAACCGTGACCTGGATACGCAAAACGAAACAAAATCATTCGATACCAACAGTTACAGTGCCAAATTTAATTTTGGGGATTCCCCGGGGTAAAAGACAAGGGAGTGAGGCGGCAGGGGGATCGCGTGGAAGGTTCATGTTTAGGATAGATGATGGTTGTTATTTATCCGGCGACGCGTCCGGCGACTTGGATGGACGTTGACGTAGATACTCTCGAGCGAGCTTCATATTCGGGATATCCGGTATCTCTAGGATACTTTCACGAACATGTGAAGCAGTCGCCTTGTTCAACCTAGCATAGAGCAATGCGATGGACAAAACTTGGCTTACGTTGTCAGGAAGAGCTATTCCATTATTGCAAGGGTTAGGTTGTTGAACGTTCCAACGATGGGCCAGTAATATCTCATTGCGTAAGTCAGGATTCATTTCGGCCATCGACTCCCACCAGTGAATATCACCTTGCAGCTTTATGCGCATTGCTCCTTCACCTTCGTCAGCGGTATCAGAAAATACTACCTGAAGTGCTTCGACCAACTGAGGGTGGAGCGTCATGGCGCTCAAAGCCTCGTCATGACATTCGGGCTCAGTGTACTCTCTGCCCAGCCAAAGTGGTGTCACAACACGGGAAGTCATATCACGCAGATCTAACGCCAACGCAATTCTATTCTGATGTATCGTTGCCTGATCGTTGGCAGGCGGCAGTATTGAGGAGTGGCCGAAGTCAGCTAGCTTTAGTAAACCAGTGGTTAGATCAATCAGCATATTATCAAACTTTACATCCTCATACACTACGTCGTTTGCGTGAATATAGGACAACCCATCGTACATCTGAGCCGCCATCTCCAACTTGACATATTCGGGCAGTCTGGTTCCTAAACCTCTAAGCTCGATCCATTCCTCTAGATTCATATCAAATTTCTCCAGGACAATACAAGTTACTCTAGCTGCCCCCTTTACATCAACAACAATATCCAACATTTTTGTAACATTGTTGTGTCCACCTGCTTTCTTCAGCCTTTCCATGATATCACACTCTTCCTCATGTTTGGAATGATGGCTGTTAGGAATTTTGATCGCAATAGCGCGTTGGTCTCTTGTGCGCTTAGCCAACACGACCTTCCCATATCCGCCTCGGCCCAGCTCGGTAAGATTTGACTCATAACATTCACCTTCTTGAACACTTTCAAACTTTACTTCCTTCTTTGGTGACCAATCCGGACGTCCAGCACATCTTGCGGCCATTGCGTCCAAATATCAGTGTTCAGTAGCTGCGCTGAAGACCGTACAGGAAATGCGCACCACAGAACAGGTCCTGTGCAGAACGGTTAAGTTTATACTTGCTAGGCCCATTGACAAACGTGCCGTTGGTTGTACGGCTAGCCATGCAAAATTTCTACAATCAGTGGTGTAGTAAAACATTTTGTACGGGTAAAATGAATTGTACACTATCATACAAACAAACTCATTAATTTATGTTTACTATCCGTCTTGTCATATCTGCTATAATGTAAAATGCAATTAGGTGGAATATTCTGACTTGCCGCGGATGGGATGTGTCGCAGGTTGTACGAAATGCATCAGGTCGGGTCAAATGTGGCACAATAAGAAAAGAGAAACATTCTTACTTCCTTATCTGTTTGGAATGCACAATTAAAATGGAGCGCTTTACTTTCTAACTTGTCGACCTGTCCCTCATCGCCGTCGTACTGTTTGTCTCCTTCCCGCGCCTTTTGTTCTCGCCTTCCTCTGATGGATGTATCCGTATCTCCACTGGTCTGCCCGTTATTCTGGCAGCTGAGCTGTTTGTTTCCCATTTTTATTTTTCTCTCTGATGGATGATGTATTGAGGCAAAAAATATAGGTTGTTTGCTGAATACTGTTGCATCGCATCGTCACCACTGCTTCGCAAACCCGCATTCAGCTGCAGTGCTGTTTAGTTCCATGTTGGTAATTTGTTTCCTTCTGTACTGTTCACTTCTATCTCTGTTATCCTCCATTCTCTCTTTGAGTGAGGGTGTATGATTCATAACTATCAAACATTTCAGACCTTGTCTGGAAGAGTTCTTTGGAAGGGTCTTTTATAATTATAAAAATAAAAAGATGCATCTCCCCCTCTTTGAACACAGAACCCACTCCGTCCTGATTGACCTTTCAAATGGCCATTACTCAGTAGCCGGCATCCATTTTACATTTTTTTTTACTAGAGCCACGTAAACCCGTCATGTCTGAGCCATGAATAAGGGGAGTGGTGGCGTGGTCTGGGGTGCTCTGCCGACCTTGGGTGTCGACTTCATCACAACCAGGCGCGCCAAAAGCAGAGAGAGAAAGAGAGGGAGAGACATATATATATATACACACAACAACAAGGTTGTCAATTTCATAATGCTAAAAGCTTTTCACCCATTTTCATCAGTAGATACATGGGAATGAGCAAGAAAAAAAAAAAATATATATATATACGTTATGCAGAGCTCACTGACTTGTCAGTTTGAGCACTCTGGCAAGGTACGTTCGGGCCTGATAGGAAATTTTTATTTCCATTGCTATCAGGTTCGGCCTCATTTTCTCTGTGCTGCGCTGACGAGTCCACAAAGGACGAAACAGTTCTGTCCGCAGATTGAGTATTTCGCTCCTGCTCTTGTAGCAGTTGAGCACTCTTGCGTGGGGTAGTGCCTTTGCTGTTTGCGTTATGCAGAGCTCACTGACTTGTCAGTTTGAGCACTCTGGCAAGGTACGTTCGGGCCTGATAGGAAATTTTTATTTCCATTGCTATCAGGTTCGGCCTCATTTTCTCTGTGCTGCGCTGACGAGTCCACAAAGGACGAAACAGTTCTGTCCGCAGATTGAGTATTTCGCTCCTGCTCTTGTAGCAGTTGAGCACTCTTGCGTGGGGTAGTGCCTTTGCTGTTTGCGTTATGCAGAGCTCACTGACTTGTCAGTTTGAGCACTCTGGCAAGGTACGTTCGGGCCTGATAGGAAATTTTTATTTCCATTGCTATCAGGTTCGGCCTCATTTTCTCTGTGCTGCGCTGACGAGTCCACAAAGGACGAAACAGTTCTGTCCGCAGATTGAGTATATATATATATATATATTAACTGGTTTGAGGGAAAGAGACAAACGGGAAAAGTCTGAAGAAAAAATTGACTGTCACCATATATATATATATATATATATATAGAGAGAGAGAGAGAGAGAGAGAGAGAGAGAGAGAGAGAGAGAGAGAGAGAGAGCGGGGAGGGTTGAGGAGCAAGAGAACTAAACAAAGTATAATAAACAGAATGAGAGAGAGAGGGAGAAAGAGCGAGCGGGGAGGGTTGGGGGCAAGAAAGGGGGAGAGAACTAAATAAAGTATAATTATGTAATGCGTAAGGGGTGCACATTCAAGGTGGGCACGGAGGTACCGAAAGACAGACACTTTGAAACATTACAGCCGTTTCCGGTCAGGTGGCTGGCTGAGGACGGCGGGTGGCAGGGCATTCCATACAGGGACAGCACAGGCGGGGAAAGCTCTACGTCAACTTTCCAGGCTATTGACAGGTAGCCCGGTCTCAAGCTGGTACTTATGCATGTCGAGACGGACGAGAGAGAGACGAGTGGGTCGAACATGGCCTGGTCGGGGGCTTGAGAGGGAGGCAAGAGCTGACGAAGTGGGCTGGTAGGATTGGAGCACAGTAGCTTGTAAATGTAGGTACACGCAGCTACCATGCGCCGGATAGACAGGCTTTGCAGCATTGCGCGGGGGCCAATCCAGTGGAGGGCTGAGCGTTGCGTCTGGTCAAGTCGCTGCAAGTGACAATCTGCTGCGCCCATCCAGACCAATGGGCAGTACTCCATTACTGGGAGTACAAACCCACGTACACTGTAGCTCGGCTGCGAGATACATCCAGGAGCGGCGAGGCCTTCCGCAGGAGCCCGAGACGCTGGCGTGCTCTGATGGCGATGGTACGGAGGTGGTTGCGGTGGGAAAGTTGGCTGTCCAAGGTTACCGCAAGAAGCTTGGGGTTACTCTCTCCATTCAGGGGGACACCCGCAAACTGTACTGCTGGGAGGTCCCAGGTGATGGTCAATAGTCATGGCCTGGGACTTGGCTGGATCGAACGCAATTCTCCAGCTGGTGCCCCAATTCACAAGGGCATCGAGAGCATTTTTGCAGGACTGTCGAGCTGTGGTCAATGGTATCCATGGTTGACAGGCACTGAAACAGCGTTGTGTCGTCGGCATAAGCGGCCAGATCTACACCTGGTGGAAAGTGATTATAGGCATCGTTCGTGTAGAGGAGGAACAGTGTCGGTCCCAAAAAGCTACCTTGCGGAACACTGGCTCTGATGCGGTGTGAGCTGGACGACTGCCACCAACGACAACACTCAGGCGCCTGTCCAGCAGGTAGTCCCCCAACCATGCAAGGAGCATGCCGGATACACCGTACTGCTGGATTTTACATCTATATTAAATCCTTTTCTTGCACATAGCCTGCACCATAGATTGCACCACCGCACTACTTCGCAATTCACCTACCCCGAATTCAACACATTCGTACATTATGGTTCCTCCCAAACTTGTGAGCCACCTACAACACGCATAAGAACGCCTAATAACAAGCCACTCAGCTTTAGCAAACCTACCCCATACGAGACTTCAAAAGCAAACATCTCTTCCGTATGTGCGTGATCACGTTTTTCAGCATAATATACAGCCCAAGTGCGCCCAGCCGACATAATATTCATTACCACGGCTTCTAATTCAGCAATCAGCTAAACTTTGATTTCTCTTTGATTTACGTTCTTGTAGTTCTTTTTCTCGTATTGGCCAAAGGCCGTCGTGAGAATAACAAATTTCAAACAACAAAACTCTCTCTCTCTCTCTCTCTCTCTCTCTGCCATGTATAGAGGTCTGGCAGGACCTTACGGCTGAATCAAGGCCGAGTGTGTACGGCCAAGGGCGCAGGCCAAGGCACGTAGCGCGGAGGCCTGCGCTGAACGGGCCGTGAGCATGCGCAGCCGGTAGGCACCGTACGAACCTGGCACAGCTGCGATTGGCTGGAAGAGGTCACGCGAACGAGCTTTATTGTCCTCGATAAAGGCCTAGGCCTTCATCGCTCAATCAAGGATACCACGTGATGGTCACTCATTGGCCACGGCCATGGAAACGGTACGCTAAAAACCTGAACGTGAGAATAAAGAATTCAAAAAAACAACAACACAGCCAGAACTGCATAGATAAGGCAGATAAACATAGTAATATATATGTGAAATCCGATAGGAGGGAACAAGGAGTAGTAGCAAGAGTATATTAAAAAAGGAATAGAGAACAGTAGAAATAGTAGAACCTTGCTGTGCCTGTAATATTCTGGTTTTAGTAGTATTGCCTTCCAGCTACTCAGTCAGCTTACGTATGTATACATGCATGGAACTATTTCCGTTTGTATACGTTAGCTGAAAAATACCTGTGTTCGAGTCTGGATACGACAGGGTATGCACAGTGTAACTGAACGAACGTAGTTTGTAGTCGGTGCGGGGTATAAAAGGTCTGGATGGACCTAGAAAAATTGTTGTGTAAGGACCCTCTGCTCTTCGAGTTGGTCACGTGGTGGAACTGTTTTTTTCAAGATGGAAGGACAACGGCAGCCATCGCATGTCCCACTTTGCCGTAATTTTAACACCCGGCGAGGTTGCAAGTTCGGGAAGAGATGTCGGTTTTATCATCCGAGAGGTACGTATGACTTGCCCTACTAATTTAATTGACCTTGAGGGGGGGGGGAGAGGGATGTGCTAATGTCAAATAATCATCAATCTCGATTGCTGATAACCGAGTGCGGAAGCGAATACAAATTATAAACTAATTTTAGATCGCAAAAATCCACGCCAAAGAGAATTCCACTGAACCTTTCAATGGAGTACATACACATATCAAGAGGCATAATTAAAAATATTGATACTGTGAGGGCTCATTCTAAATCATTTGTTGGTTGCAACTTTCATTATTATCACTTTAATGCATTTGCAGATTTCAGAGAAAGGCGGGACAGGCCATGTATAGTAGACCCGGCAGCGGAGATGGCGTTGCATCCGGCCCCTCGTCCACAGTTCCCGGAGACCGAAGAACAGTTAACCGTTGCGAGTTCCGACAGTCCCAACAACAAAGGTACAAGTGAACGAGAATTGATCACCACGGATGAAGAGCGATTACGAAGGCTGCATGACGCAATTCGCACGGGACGTAAGATTAGATGGCACGCTAGAGATACCGGGCCCGAGAGTTAGGACGAGGGTAAGTGCGAGCATTGTACACATGCTGATGTCGTTGTTGATCCCTTTCAGTCTGCAATGTTTAATTTTAAGCATTTGATGTGAAATCCTACGTGCCGTCATATGTATGATGAAACCTTTTTTTGTTTTTTTGTACTTCAGTATTTATTCTGAATCCATACGCTTGAATCGTATCTCGACAGTTACGTTTGCGACTTCTGATGAGATCGTTTTACAATTGTCATTTCAGTACTAAGGGTTTTGTCTCCTCCCCTATTATATCCAGGAGACGATTATGAGCCAAAGGCCAAGAGAGCCCTAACTGTGCAGCCTCGCTGCGATAATACACTGCAGCAAAACCCAGCGAGTAATCAACCACAGCAGCAGGACACACAACAAGTGCATGCACCGGAAACACTACAGCAGGAGCCAGAACCGACAGATCTAACGCATCTGCATGATCTATACATCCAGCAACAGCAGTATCCATTTAGGTTCGGCTTCCCCCCACCAGTACCGGCGTGGCACGTGATCAGCTACGAAGAGCCCATGGATGAGTCATGATAACCAGGTGTCAAGAGTATTGTCTTTATAGTGCTATCTCTTCTGGTTTTTTTGTCCATATAAATGGGGTTATGGACCCTTCAGCACGTCGTGCGCGAGAAGCTTCATTTTGTTAAGTATTGTGAAGTATTGACTGAAAAAAATAAGTTTTTGTTCTTCTCTAATCGCGATAGCGTGTTGTTTGTGTGGGTATTCTACGGTGGCATTACCTGGGTTTTTCGTCGCGACTGCGTAAAAACATTCACGCTTCGCATTTTCCGCGTCCGCATGAATGTCACAACCCTCTTGGGTGAAGGCGCAGATGCAGGTCCTTAGCCGTAGGAGGTGAGTAAATCACACCCGCCACAAAGTGATCAAATTCGGAAAACAGTCAAATAATCAAACTCCTTCCTTCATATCCAAGTTTGTAAGCGAATATTAAATTTAAACAAGTCTTTCATCGATATAGAATTCAACTAAAACCGAAGCCATGTATAGTAGAGTCGGTCGAAATAGTGGCGTTACCACCAGCCCCTCGCACGGACTTCCCAGAGACGGTAGGGGTAAATCGACCGTTGCAAATTCAGAAAGTCTCGTCAACAATACAGGTACATTGCATAGCGAATTGATCATGACGGATTAAATACGAATACGAAGGCTGTATCACGGAATTCGCGCCAGTCGAACGCTAATGTGGCACGCTAGAGATGCGGGGACAGAGAGTGAGAGCGATGGTAAGTGCGAGCATTGTATTCATTCTGATGTCTTCGTTGAAGCCCGCCATTCTGCATTGTGCAAGCTATTGGTGTGTAGTTCTGCATGCTGGTTTTGTTTTGCATCAGGCCAGTGAAATAAGGTTCTGTGATTAAACAAAATCCTAAGGCCGCGAAGTGTATGATTCTCGCCACTATTATGGGCCTGGCACGTGATCAGCTACGACGATCCTATGGATCAGTCATCATCAGTCACAGTGTTTTCTGGACATGTAGTGCCACCTCTTCTCGTGTTGTGGTCTTAATATTTTGGGTGAAGGACCACTGGGCACTTCGTTTTTGACAAATTTCATATAGATCTCAAGCATCTGCAAGCCCTATACATACAGCAACAGCGTATCCATTTAGTTTCGACTTCCCGCCACCAGTACTGGCGTGGCACGTGATCAGCTACGAAAGCCTATGGATGAGTAATCATAACGGGATGTCACAACATTTTCAAGTCATATAATGCCACTTCTTCTGGTGTTGTTGTCCATTTTGTTGGGCGAAGGACACTACGGCACCTCGTGCTCGACAACTATAATTTTGTTCTAAGTATTCACGATTAACTATTTCCACATCCTCTTGGATGTTACCACTCTCCTTTATTATCCTTTCGACGATCGTAAAATTTGAAATGTGTTCAAACAAGAGTAGGCAAACTCTTGGATCAAGAGGCACTGTTTTCCGTAGGTATCACCTGACATCGTTCATTGCATTTTGTGCAGTGCTAATATAGCCCGATTCGGCCGCACAGCTAAGGTTTGGGAGTTAGCGACGAGTCCTGCTGAATTTGTGTCCGATCGGATCGGTATTGAGTGGAAGAAGGCTGTGTAGCCATTGCCTACTCTGTAGATCAGTCTTATCAGGACTTTGCCTGTATTCTAGAACCGGATAAGCTAAAGTCACGGAATGCTGTGATACTGATTCGTGGTGTCTACACCATGATTGTGCTGTGATGGAGGTGTTACGCACTTGTAGAAGGACGGGTGGCATTCTCAGAGAGGCAAGCCACTCGTCGCCAATGGCTGGCCTCTCTGGCCTTTCCACAGTGACGGGCTCCACACCGTGCGAGTCGCCATAATGGAGAGATGTAGTCATGACAACGTTACTAACGTATTCCCGTACACTGCCACTTTATCGAGGAATGCCAGAGCTCGCCTTCGTCTTCTTGATTATCAGTTTTATAGTTCCCAATGGATTTGAGTGTTGATGCCGTACTGATCGAGTGTTTGTCGTTATTTTTTTTTGTTCTGCCGCGGGTTTGCCTGTCTAGCTGGTATTCTGTGTACATGTAGCGGACAGCTTCTGTTCAAAATTTTCCTTGTGTCAGACATATCTGTAGAGCATAAATATATCTAACTATCGCGTCTGGAGATCGGTGCGTGGGCGCATGTATGTGCGTGTGTTTTTACATTTCGAAACTCATGGCAAACCACCGGACAATGTGGATTGATTTGGTGAAAGTAATCCAAGGCGATAAAATAGGCAAGGATTAGAACAGAACAGGAAAGAGTAGCAAAATAAACGGCAACAACTCCGTGAAGAAAGAGAAGGTTTGATAGAATGTCACGAGCAACAGAGACGCAAAGGTATGTGGATGACGAGCTAGATGTATGTTGTAACTTTGAAACTGTGGGCACAAGTTATGCGCTCGAGTTCACCAACTAAACCAGTTTTTGAACAGTCAGACGTGCACAATCTAGCACAAAACTGACAGGGAGTACAGACGCATTCCACGACCTGTACGTCTGCTTGAGCACTGCTGGATAGCGCTAACCAACGGCCTTTCAACTTGGAATTTCAACTTGGAAGGCTAATGGATACTGGTGCTAATTCCAAAGTGGGGAAGGTAACTTTAATTCCCGTAGCTATGCAGAAGACATTACTTCAGTATCGTCTGGCGCTAGCCAGGGTCCACACAGCTTTAATTTGGTGTTTGTTTGTGTGTTTGTTTGTTTGTGTCACGCCTGGAGCTATCCCGTATCTGTCCCGTATCTGTCCCGTATCTGTCCCGTATCTGTGACTACAAAGGCTCTACAGGAATGTACATAATAGCTGTCCACAATATGTTTTTTTTTCATCATCAAAAACAGCCGCTTTTACGGGCAAGATTAAACATTAAAAGCAACACAATGATGAGAAAACAAGAGGGGTAAACACAATAACTTTATCAACGCTGTTGACTCACGCATACACACATACACCATTGACCATTGACCATTGGACGCCCATCGCCAGAGGCGATGATAGCGATGCTACAGCAGAAGCCATAGCAACTTGTGCACACATACACACACACACACACACACACACACACACACAAGATAACAATGATACTCAGTACCTAGACTGCAGGAGTTGCAAAGAAAGTTAAATCAATGCAGCCTCCGCGTTTGCGAGGACAGCAGACTGATCATTGACGCGGCGCATCCGCCGGGCACCACGAAGGCAGGCAACACTGGCACGCAGGAGACCAAAACCAAGACGACAACGCAGCAACGCCATCACCATTGCGTATGGCTCTCCGGATTTCTCAGCAGACAGAGCAGCAATTCGCTTGAGAAGAGCGGAAGCAGCTCGACCGGCTCCACCTGTGGCTGAGAATACGACAGGTACGAAGGAGGCTCGCTCAACTTCTTGCACCCTCTGACCATACCTGCGACGCTTCTCTCGCTCATGGCTCTGGTAGCGAGCAGCGAGAGAAGAGGAACGGTTTGAAGGAGCGAAAGGGTTAAACACCCGTACATCAAGATAAACGCGTTCAAACCGTCCTCCCCACACGCCACTCGCCGCCACATCCAGACGGGCTTGATCCTCGGTGGACGCCGTCCGGTAGCGGAAAAGCTCGCCGGTGAGGGGTTGGAGATGAGGCTCTACTTCTACGCTGTGTGCCACCTTCTTCAGTTGGCCAGCGATGATGTCCCGTACCTCATTGTGGCGAAGCGTCGGGAAACCACCAGTGGGGCAAGAGAGAGCATGCTCAACAGAGAAGGTGGCACCACAGACACAAGTAGAAGGGAGCCGTGCAGGGTGCCAGCCATACCGCAATGCCAGACCATCGCGAAATTCACATTTTGACAAGCTGAACCCATGCCGACTGAGGGGGCGACACGTGAGCCACCTGGACGCACCCGCCTCACTGCCAAGGTTGATGGAGTGCTGGAGGGCAGAGGAGGCTCGGGCGGTGAATTGGCGAAGGGCTTCCGTGGCAGCTGCCTTCACATCCTTGCGGTTAGAGGCCTTCAGGCTGGCGACCTCTGCCAAAGAGTCGCCCAGGTTGAAACTCTGGGTGAGGATGTTGGCAACCATAGGAGCAGTGATGGCACGTGAGGATTGGTACTGGGCCGACAGAGAGGTGGGATCCAATATTCCTAGACCACCGTTCCGGCAGGGGAAGGAGAAAAGGGTGCGGAGCTCAGAGCTGATTTCCTGGCCTGTGAGAGCTGGGAGGAGCTTCGTGGCAATGACCCGCTCCAGTGAAGCAAGGCCAGCAGACGCACTTTCGAGTACCCGGCAGAGGAAAGACCAGCGGCTGGAGAGGCCTCGGGTGAAAGCAGAATAGGCTGCTTGTGGCTGAGGCAGGGCGGTTGATGTCAGTGATTCTACCTGCCCACACCAGTCCCGGGCTTTCTCGTGTACGTAGTCTTCGACAAACGCAGGTGTGCCTATGGCTGAACCCAGGTAGCGGTTGCCTGTGGCGGTGATGTGGATGCCTGTGCCGTCGAACAGCTGGACAGCTTCATCGTAGTCGTCAGGCTTCACCACGAGCACGGACTTTGCTGGGTTGAGGAAGTATCCGAAATCAGGCCCTCTGTCGTGCAGTTTGTCCCACCAGGTTCGGAGAGGAACGAGTCGGCCACCTGTGGACGAATCGTCCGCATACCATAGCTGGCAGGCGCCGGGTGTTACGATCTCCCGGATGAGAGGGACTACGCCGATCGCATATAACGGCATCGCAATGGGGTCGCCCTGTGTTGTGCCCTCATTGGAATGAATACATTCACCATCCACGTAGAGATTGCTGGGCTGACGGTAGGTGTTGATTACAACCGTGGCAAACGAGGGGCATAGGTGCTGCACATTCCGTAGGCAGGCGGCGCGATTGATGTTGTTGAACGCATTAGTTGCATCAGCCATGATGATGCCCTGGGTGTCCTCCTGGTCGTATACATCATGCATAGCGTGAATTGCGGCCTCAATACCGAAATCCTGCCCGGCACACAGCTGCAAACCACCAGCAGCTTCCTGGATGTCTGCGCTGATGACGTGAAGAATCGCCTTCCCCACTACACGACGAAGCACCTCGCCTATGCCGATCGGCCTCACGCCCGGGTGTTTGTCGAGAGGGATTAGCCTCGAGGCTAGGTAGGCCTCTAGGGCATTCGGATCAACGAATGTCGTTGCTAGGCGACGTGCACACAGAGCTAGTGAGTCGCACAGAGAATCGGATGTATCAGCAAAGCTCGTGCACATCCAGCGCCAGTTCTCAGCGTCAACGCCGGATGGTCCAGCGGCACCATGGGTGTTCAATACCGCCTTCCTCAAGGCTTCGCGCGTGAGAGCGTCAAATCGCACTGGGTGAGGTGGTGCCGGAATTTCGCCTTGCAGAAGTGCCCCTGGGGAGAGGGGGCGCTCTCTGGATGTTTGGCCTTCAAAGCTTCCCGGACGGTTGTATCATCGATCTTGTCGTCCAGGTTCAGGTGGCCCTTTGTCGGTGGGCCCTCGAGGTCCCGCAGTGCAGATGTCATCCTCCCGCTTGTTACTTGGGACGCAAAATGCCGTGCCAAGTTTCCATCTTGATTGGCATGGGACGAACTCTTGTTGCGGTCCGTTAGCTGACCCTGGATAGTGCGACTCTCGTGGCGGAGATTCTGGATGTCCCCTTGATTCCACGTGTCGAGTCGTCGTCTCAGCACAGCAGACAGCGAGCGGGAATCTTGGGCATGGGGATTCTGTAGCATTAGCTGTTGGAAGACCATCGCTACTTTCAGGGCTATGCCTTCAAAAGTCGCCGCGTTTCCGAAGCAGGCGAGGTAGCGACTCAGTTGCAGGATGAAGGCCTTCCCAACGGAGCCTCTGGGAGGATTGAACGCATTTGGACGGAAGTGTACAGCCTCGTCGTAAGCGGCATTGATCGCAGCTTCTGACTCAGCCTCGCTCATGGTGCCCAGCGCGAAGCCAGTCTGCCTCGCCTCGATGTAAGCGGGCAGATCATCATGCAGAGGCGGAGGAGCCTGGCCCCGAACGGGGGAACTACCCGGGGTGGAAGACATGTCTGCACTTTGCGACCCTGCGAGACTTGCCAGGAGTTCTGTGTCGTTGTGGAGCGAGTCATTTCCGCTGGTGACAGGCAGTCTAGCAGCATCGGCTTCTTCCTCGGCCGCGGTGCTCTGTGCATCGTGGTGCTGCTCCAATAGGTCCCAAGCATGTTCCTGGGAGCTAGTTGGCAGTCCGGCCTTGGAGGCATCCTTTGCTACTGTGCGCGCAGGGTCGGCCGTAGTAATAACAGCTGACTCAGTACATGTAACTGATGGCGTATCATGGCTGCTTGCCCCCCTGCACGCCTCCAACAGTGCATCAACACTGGCGTCTACATCGCCCGCATTCAGCTCTACACACACGTTGACCGCGCTGGCAGTTGTTGTACAACGGATTCCCGTACTGTCCTGTGACAGCTCGGTCCGTCTGGCCTGGTCCTGTGTTGGTTGGGATGATGGCGGACTGTTCTTGCATCGGTTTTTCCGTGAGGGAAGGCATCCTCTACAGCTGCGGCCGTCCTTTCTGCAACTACACTGGGCGCAGGTACCGCTGCCGTTACACCGGCAACACTGGGAACTCTGCATCCGGCGTTGTTTGCCGAGAACAAGCCGGCCGTGAGCACGCGCAAAACCAGACGTCAAAAGTTTGCAACCATCCACCCAAACTCGACTATACTAGTCCACAATATGTACCGGCTCCTGTATCTGTCCCGTACCGTACCAATATTCGTCGTATTATGTGTACGACTTCCTGATGTAGAGGGAGATTTGGAAAGAAATAGGGAGACGAGGAGGAAATTAAATTAGAATAGACGCCGAATAGGTGATAGGATGCGTCAGCATAAACATACTTTTGAAGAGAGATCCCGTCGTCTCCAAAATAAGCGTGAACGAGCGATTCAGCGCCGGTCACAGGAAACGTCGGAAGAGAGATCCCGTCGACTCCAGAACGCCCGTGATCGGCAGAGTCCGCGCCGGTCCCAGGCAACGTCAGGACAGACATCCTGTCGAGTCCAGAACGCCCGTGATCGGCAGAGTCTAAGCCGGTCCCCGGAATCGTCAGGACAGACAACCCGTTGAGTCCAGAATGCCCGTGATCGGCAGAGTCAGCGCCGGTCCCAGGAAACGTCAGGACAGACATCCGGTCGACGCGCAGAAAAACTAAATCTGCAGCCGCTTTTGCCGTCGGACAGGATACGTATTTTAGGAGACTGTAAAGTTATGTCATGTGCTCCACAGGCAACCATGCATTCGGCGTCGTCATTGGCTCAACAGGTCAATGTACATGTATTACTACAAAAAGGCCAGAAAATCGGATTACTGTCTTAAAATCAACTAATTTTCGCTGGCGATTTTATTTCGCTGATTTCGCCGCTTGGTACCAACCGGCCAAAGTAAATCGCAGGCCAAAGTTTGTCACAGAGGCAAATGATGCATGATTGAGCAATGGATGCATGTGAGAGCAAAAGTACCGATCGATTTCTTTTTGAAAACTCCAATCGGCCAAAGTTTAATGACGGCGAAAAGTTTCGTTTCTCATCGGCCAAAGTTTCTCATCGGCCAAAATTTGTTGATTTACAGTATAAGGAGATAAAAAGAGAAGAAGGAGTAAACCAAAAGTAGATGATATTAAAGAAATGACAATCTGCAATAAATTCTGCAAATACTTTTGCCTAACTCATAATATTCAAACTGATTGAAACGTTTTTGCAATACAATGATGTGGCCAATCAACGGAAAAAAAACATTTCCATGAGTTCTTATAACATGTACGATGAGCTAGGCAAAAAAGCATAGCGTAGGGCCCCTGAGCTTCCAAGCTCTCTCGTTAAGTGCCAATTTTAAGATGTGCTACAGCTGATTGCCAGTTAGGTGTAAAACGTCAGAACCGTTGGTCAGTGTCTTGCAAGTTTATCGCATGAGCTGATTGTAAAGTAAAGGATAAAAGTTTAATGGTGATGTTCAGATGTTCGTGGACATTTTTATGCATTTGCCACACTCCCCATCATTCGGCATTTTCAGCAGCAACACCACGCAGTTAAGCAGATTTGGTATGCGGATGACTCCAGTGGTGCTGGCAGGATGAGAGCGATTCGAGACTTGTGGACAACAATCCAGGAACACGGTCGCTTGTATGGATATTTCACCAATCCGGACAAAACCCTACTTCTCGTGAAGGCCGGATTGGAGGAGGCTTCACATCAGTTTGAAGGCACCGGTGTCCGCATTGTCACCGGCAGCGCAGTATCTTGGCTCATACATCGGGGAGCCTAATGATGTTGCCAGTCAAGTGAGGGAGAGGGTTGATGATTGGTGCAAGGAGCTACGCACATTAGCAAAGTTTGCCAGCACAGAGCCACACGCGGCTTATGCAGCTTTGACTCATGGCCTGCGGGGTCGTTGGGTCTACCTCTTTCGTACGGTTCCCATTCCGGAGGACGCAGTATCAGCGTTGGACAAGGTAATCGAAACTGAGTTCTTGCCGGCTGCAACTGGTCGAGACGCATTCACCACGGAGGATTTGGTGATGCTGCTGACTCGTTTCGGGGAAAGGCCATTCCACACTTTCACAGCATGAGTGGGACAGAGCGCGACGCTTCCAGAGCAATGACAGCAGCCAAGGTTAGTGAAATTCTGCAACAGAACAACACATCATGGACCAAGCAAGCAACGGAACGTGTTCGGCAAGATGCTATGACAGCCAAGAAGTATTTTTCCAGACAACGCGGCACAACAAGTGAGGCTGAGTTGCGCCAGCTGCGGCACTCGGCGTCGGCGGATATGGCGCGTCGTTTGGAGCATTTGTCCTCCCGAGGTGTCTCTAGCTGGCTCAACACACTGCCTATCAGAGAACATGGATATCATCTGTCGAAGGGAGATTTCAGGGATGCGGTGGCGTTGCGGTATGGCTGGGCATTGGTTGATGTGCCTACTACCTGCTCTTGTGGCCAACCGTTTAGTCCGGCCCATGCCATGTGTTGCCCTAATGGTGGTTTCCCCACAATTCGGCACAATGAAGTTCTAGATATTCATGCCGACTTACTGCCTGAGGTTTGCTCGGATGTCGCTGTCGAGCCTCAGCTTGCTCCGGTTTCAGGAGACCTGTTTCTGGCAGCCTCAACAATCACCGCCGACGATGCTCGCGCTGATTTCCGGGCTCGACGGCTGTGGACCAGGGCACATAATGCTTTCCTGAATGTCCGGGTTTCTCATCCCGATGCTCCGTCCTATGCCACCAAACCTCTCGACAAACTGTTGGCGGAGCATGAGAGGAAGAAAAAGCTGCAGTATGCTGAGCGCATCATCAATGTGGACCGTGGGACATTTACCCCACTAGTTTTCACCACGGCGGGTTGTTGTGCGCCAGAGAGCTCCAGATTTGTCAAGCGCCTGTGTGGCCTCATTTCGAGTGGGGACACGAAGTTGTATGCCAAGGCAATGACATATGTCCGGTGTCGACTGGCGTTTGCATTGTTGCGGTCGGCGATCATGTGCATCCGCAGTGTCCGATCGTCATATCACCGTCCTGTGAATGCATTGCGAGAGTTGGCAATCTCGGAGGGCCGGCTGTGAGGTTTTGGAGCCGATGGTGGCAGGACAGTGCCCTTGTATTTTTTTTTGGTGTTTTTTTGTTTTTGTGTTTTTTCTCGTTTTTTTTGCGTTTTTTCACACATACTATTGTTTTCATTTTTGGTGTTTTGTTCTAATCATTCGCCATGCCACTGTCAATTGTATTCTGTTTGCCCGTGAAAGAGGCCTTTATCATCGTGGACATTGTTGCACAACTAGTTTCTTTTCGGTTTTCATTCATTTCCTTCTTATCAATATATTATTGGGTCACCACCTGCGTCTAATTAAGTCAATTTTCACAATCGTAGCCATTGGCACAACAACTGAAAATAGGTGCACTGTCATACCGCAGCTCACTTTTGTTCATATTGGTCGCGCGATCTGACCGTATAATTATATAATGAAAGAGATGCGCATTTGCTCATACAGCACTTCGGTGTCATCAATTTTTACTCAAGATATCCATCATATAATGGTCGCTAAACATATTACATGGTAACTTTCTTTCCCATTTGACATTGTGATTATAACATAGATCTCCATCAAAATACACATCTTTTTCAAGCCTTCTCTTCTGATGCTCATGTTCTCCCCAATACGGTCTCTTGTTGGCTAGAGTTGTGGTCCCCAGCCAAGAAGCTTTGT